AGTCCAACCACAACCCTATTCGGCGGACCCACACCACTCCCACCTCCAATATCAACATCATTACTCCCACCACCACCCAACAACAAAAACTTTATCTCCCCTTTTTTCGGCTGTACAAATCGCCCAAAAAAAATAAATTTAATAAATAAAATTAAATAAAAAAAATTTTTTTTTCATCGTTCACATACAAGCACAACAGATAAAGTACCGAATCATCTAGATGAAAAAAAATGATAGTGGAATTCAACAAGATAATCGTTTTATTGATATTCGAATAGCTGTTCAAGTTCAGAACTTATAGATAAACTTATTTTTTGTTCATAATTCATTAATAAACAAATTAAATGTTTTCTTTTGTTTTTAGAGAGTTCTTAAATTCAATTTGGATGATACCGTATGGAGTCCAGGGTGTGGGTGTGGGTGTGGGTATGAGTGTGAGTGTGAGTGTGGATTAATACAAGTTAAAACTAGCACCCACACCCACACCCTCTCATGATCAATGGTTACCTGTTAATTCGGAACTATCAAGTCAACTTCAAAAATCTTTAATTATAAATTTGAATAAAAAGTTTTCAAGTGGAATTCAATTAAAAACATCAGCAAATACATATTTTGTATCTATGACACAATCTTTTTGTTCAATTATGAATAATGATCAAAAAGATAGTGTTCGACGGTTACGTTGTCGAGGTTCATCTTTATTTAATTTTCATTATTATTCACAATGGCAAATTGTGTTTATGAAACATCCAACAGGTATAAGAAAAGATTCCCTCTCAATAGATGTGATGAATAGGGCAACAACAGCAAATACAACACAACTTAATTCATAGTATGGGTGTGGGTGTGGGTGAATGGAATATTTTGACCGACACCCACACCCCAAAACTACCCATTTATATAAATATCTGACAATAAATATAATCATCCTTTGCATATCATAGGGAAAAATCAGTTGACACTGTCTATTCAAACCTTATACTTTCTCTATAGTATAGACGCAATAGTTTCCATTTGAATTCTTTCCATAGATTCTATTCGAAGAAAAAAATCAATTAATATCGAAATATAAGAAAATGAAAATAAAATTTCTTATTTATCTTGTTGATCTCTTAAATAATTAGTTATTTGTTGTTCTTCTTCATTAAAAGTTTGAGGAGAAACAGGTGAACCATTAGTTACTGAAGGTTGATCATTTAATAAGTTATTTTGTTGATGCAAAAAGTAAACAAGATGTGAAACAATATAAACAATAATTGTTATAGATATACAAACAGCTAAAATTGTTGGAAAATGATTTGGATTATGATCCATTATTAAACCTAAAAGATTCAAAAAGAATTAAATATAATCTATTATTTATAATGTTTACCAGCTATTTTATTAAATATGATTCCTCCAAGTGCTGCTCCACATAATAATAAACCAAGAAGCATTGGTATAACATTTAATCTTTGATTGAAAAAAGCAAATGATAATGGAAATATTGGTGCAAATATCAAACCAGTTACTGCACCAAGAATAAATAAACTTGTACTTGTTAAACCAATAATCCAAACATAAATAAGCCAAGCAATAGCAAGACATAAAGCTCCAGACCAAATAATACTAAGAGACATATTTACCTCAAGAAATACAGATATTATTGCAACAATAAATCGTCCGATCTATTTTAACAAATAATTATTTATTTTATTTTAAGAAAACAAATAAAATTCTATTTAAAGAGAATTTTTCATTCAAAAAACAATCTATCCAACAATAGAAATTCATTGAATTAAATCTAATTTTATAAGAATTAACAAATCAAATAAAAAACTTTTTCTTTAACTGAACATATTTTTAGAAATGCTCACAACTATTAAAGAATTTCTCGATAGTTGTCAGTCTCTTCAATTAATACATCAATACAGTTATATTATTATCATGATGAATATTTTTTGCTACAATTCCAATATAATCATTACAGTTATAAATGAATCACAAACACAATGTTTCTCTACTCATCTCTATATCCTAATTCACCAGTTCAGATCATTATTGACCTCTATCATTTAAATTTAAGATCTGTGAAATTGATTCAATCGCAGTTCAAATTGTGGGATCGAGAATAGAAATCATTTAAAGTTAAATTTACGATGCTGCTCAAAAGTCTCTTACCACTTTTTTCTTTTCAATCGTCTATTAAAACTACACAACACTAATTTTATTTCGTTATAGACCTGTACAGTAGAGATCAACTTCTATCTATTCTCTTTCTCGTAGAGAAGAGTCGTGCAACCATAAATTGTCTGATTGCTCGCTTGCTTGCTTGTGTGTCCGCACTTCACAGATCGGTCCAAAACAAGGGAAAGATAAAATGGATTATTTTCCGTAAAACTTGACCAAACGTTAACCAAAAATGGGGAGGTCGAATCTGAGGTTAGTTTTAACTAATTATTAAGTAATTATTCATTCACTGATGATAATTAATAATATTCTGGTATAAAACTTGTTCATAGTTTATTAGGGGTCACAAATCAGAATCTGAGGACAATTTTAATTAATTAGTAATTGATCGATTATTGATTGATTATTATTAGTAATGCATGTTTTTTTTCAAAAAAATGGCTGAAGGCAATCGAAGGTACAGAATACGGATCAAAGATCGGTTTTAATTAACAACGCGTTATTGCTGAATTATTAGCTCTTTGTGTTTTCGATAGAACTTGATTGAAGGTGACTGAGGGTAGAGAACCCAAATATGGAGTCTGTTTTGGTTTATTAATCATAAAGTTTTTGAACGACACTTGAAAGGAAAAATTTACGACCAGAACTGGAATCCAGAGTCTCTTGATTTTTTACTAAGTACTGCTATTATTTGTGTTTTCTCTGGAGAATTTAATCGAAAAGTTTTTGAAATAAAAAATAAGGATGTAAATAAGTTTACGTTAATAAGCTAGCGATGCTAAGAAGTAGTAAAACACATTAATGTCACCATAGTTTAGAGAAAAACTTCACTTGAGAAAATTTAAAAAGAAGGATTTCAATAGGGAGCTAGCTATTGTTACTTATCTTGACGATTGAAAAGTTTGGGAGGCGTCCAGAAGCGGCACTTCTACGAGAAAGAGCTGAGCGAGTCCAATGACGAGTGTTACCTGTATATCTATGGGTGAATTGCAACTTTTTGGTACAATTGACGTGAAAAAATGAGAGTAAAGCTAAACAATTTTCGATAAGTGTTTTTTGTTGTACTTTATACCTGTACTAGATAATTAAAGTTTCCCAGCACTGTATCGATTATTAAGGGAGATATGAGCTATGCAATATTGCAGATTCTTCTACTTATATTATTTGTTATCAATTAGAGCTGAAAATAGGTTCGTGTGAATTTTAATAGGAATAAAAGTTAGAGACAACCAGAAAACCATATTTTAATCCCTGTTTCGGACTCGTTGCATGTTGTCATGTCTTACTGTTCCTTCATATTGGGTCTCCAAATGTCCTTAACTGATGGTTTTCCATAAGAACATCAATTTTAATTATTTATAATTGATTTTCTATCGATATTTATTATATTTAAACACGTCACAATTATAATAGTCGCAATCCAGTCTGTCATTGATTAACTATTTTGTAGAATGTTCTTTTCATAACCATAAATCCGATTTGACACTGTTAGATTTTGGACTATACTGTCTATACTATAAACAGTGAATCATTCATAACTATTTCTATAACGAAAGAGTACTCAAAAAACAGCTCACAATATATTTAAATTTTTTCAGTTTGTGCTATTTATTGAGGCTGCCCTTCAAAATAATAGTATCCAATAAATTCTACGGATAATACCTACCAAATCGTCACTCTACATGTTTTTTAGTATAATGTAAATTTCTCCTGAATAGAAGTAGATTGGAAACTGAAACTTTTACTAGATACAGAACTTTTTACTTTGAATAGACCTTCAAAGTTAGAGTCAAATTAAACGAACCGTTCAAGAGTTAAAAACGAATCAAAACTGAAATCGTCACTCTAAAAAGTGAATGAAATCACCTTCTTCTAAAAACGTTTTTCTATTTTTATGAAGAAAGAAATTCGAAAATATAAAGTTTCTTTCGTTCATTTTGTGTCTTAATGAGTTGTCTTTCTTTCTGTATAGTCTTTGAATCAAGACCTTTATCTATAGCACAATTACAAAGCATGTTTCCGTCACTCTACAAAAAAGAAAGAAAAGTGTATGTCAAATGACGTGTACGTTGGACGAAGGAAAGAAAAGAATATAAAATTAAAATCGATGATACATGTTGATAGAGTATCCAAGACTGTACAAAATGACCGAGTTGTATGTTTTTTCCGTTACTTTTCTATGATCGAAAGGTTCTTTTTTTTTCTCACATGTCATTAAAAACGACCATTTTCTTGTCATAAATCTCCCATAAATCAGCAATAGGACGAGGTACAGGGCTGAAATTTTTAGTGGTAGTGGGGCATATGAAGAGCAATAATGTATAAAAAAATCGTCGGAATCAGTTGAGCCAAACAGAAGTTATTGGTAAAATACAGTTAAAACATCCATTGTGCCAAAAAGTTGCAATTCACTCATATCTATAAATTTCATACGACGAGCTCTTCAATATAAAATGCAATAAAAACAAACAAACTTTAATGTTAAGAATAAAAATCATATTGTTGTTTCAAATTTCAGTAGTTGAAGTAAGATAACAAGTAATTTAAAATTCGAGTAACATTCTTTCTTTGATATTTTTACATGATTCGATAGGACTCATCGAGCCCTACAAAACTGTGTATACTCAAACATTTTAAAATCCTTTTTAGAGATAAAATTTATAAACAGTTTTTGTAGAGCTCGATGAGTTCCATCGAATCCTGTAAAAATATCA